GGGGAGAAGGAGCAGGGGGAGGAGCTCCAGACTGCTGGTGCGAATGGCCGGCTGGTGATCTGCAAATGCAGGGAGGGAGCGATCTCTGCTGCAGGGGAGAGGAGAGGGGAAGCGGGAGAGGGGCTCTCTGGCTGTCGGAGCCCCATGTAAGTGGCACCATCCTGCCGGCCTCCCTGTTAGCCGCGCGTGCTCTGCATGGGGGGGGAAGTCCGGACATTTAGAAATTCCCCCCGGACGCTATTTTTAGCTCTAAAATCCGGATATGTCCGGGGGAATCCGGACGAATGGTAACCCTACACTGTATGCTCTTTTGCTGCAGCAGAGCATCAGGGCCATACAATGATCAACTTTCCAATGATCTCAGCTGAGGTTACCTAAGATGTTTACTGTGGGAAAACAGAAAATAGGCTCTAATTGAGCGAGGTACTGGGCCTAACTTCATGCATACAAGTAGTCTCCCTGAAGTCTGAGATTGCTCACATACTTAAGCCCTTAATTTTAAATTCCTTGTGGAAATGGGGCTGTTATGAGGCAATCTTAGGAAAAATTGGGAAAAGACAGACTCTAAAGGAAAAGGTGACTTGTGGAATTTACACAAATTTGTTTTCATTCAAAAACCGCTTCAGTGGAAAAGAGCTTTTAAAATAAAATCTGTAGTTTCAATTGTATACATTTGGCGACTTTATTCCATGTACATGACTGTCTAGGTAAACATTAATTCTATAAATATGCTGATACTGATTTTTGTTCTTGCAGCATGCAGCTGGGGATGGGAATAGTTGGCTTAGTTTGAAACTCACTAATTATCTACATATTGTCTTAATCTTTCAAGTAGTAATAAGGATGATACTTTTGGCAGATGTCAGGTGTCCTCCACTCCCACTGTTCAGAAAGATTAGGTGCACACCCTCTGAAAATACCATGTTACATCTAAAAATTAAAACCTTATAAAATGTCTATTTTTCATATTAAAAAGTTATTGTCTGCTAACAGGTTGGTTTAATATACATCTTTTCTTTTCCTTCTAGAGAGAGGTTAACAGTTGGATGTTGCCAACTGGCACAGCTGGAATACACTATTACACAATGCAATGCATCTGTCCATATGGAGGCCAAAAATAGGGGCTGGTTATGATACTACAATCAACTTCAGGTTTTGATCTACACTGTTCTCCCCCCTTGAGCTTCCCCCTCCTTAAATTGTAGTTTTTTTTTTTTTATTAAAATGGGGAACTGTGTCAGGAGAGCAACCAAAATCTAGTCCAGTATTTCTCAGTGCTGGTTGTTTAACTTACACTTGAATCTACTTCCTGAATTTTTTCCCCCATTCAGCTAGCAACAGGAGTCCACCAGCAGCATTAATTGTTGGCATTTGCGTTAAATCTCGTCTTCCAGAGATGAACACAATCGTAGATGTTGCCACTAGGATACTTAGCATACATCTGTTTGGACCACTTTTAAAGTGCAAAAAATAAATAGCCAGTGTTTTTGTATAGAAGACCACCCTGTAAACACTTCCCTTCTATGACAACCAAAAAGCAAGAAAACAAAGTGTGGTGTAAAATTTAAGAGATTCAAGACTATCTATAAAAGCTATTGTTTTCAAACACCTTTAAGTCCAAGCTAGAGGAAAGAATTTTTTTTTGGTCTGCCTAAAAGATGACAGGTAAAAAATAGTTTAAAAGTTCTGCCCTCCTCCAGTTCAATGATCAGGTTAACCCTTTCCTGTATGTACTGGTCTGATAGGAAATTCTCAGTACCAATCCTTAACTTAAGCAAAGGTGGTGCAGGTGAGATCTTAGTGTTTCTTAAAAGGTATGTGAGTTAAACAGGTACTAACAAGTAAAACTGCCTAAAAATTGCTTCCTGTCTAAATTAACTGGTTTTATTTACCCATCAGTGATTAGTAATTCTATTTGTCCTGTCCCTTACAGTAGAAATTTGGGTGGCTTTTACCTAGAAGTCATCTAAAAAAAACCAAAACACACCTACCTTTTCAACCTACCTTTATCTATAAAGGAACTTCTTTTCTACTGCAGGGCACCGTCAAATGATTTCCCTTGCTGCTGTTGGAATGTAATTATAACTTGTTTCCTGAAACTGAGTTCACAGCTATTTAATTTGTCTACAGCTATTTACAATACTTCTGGCCTTTAACCGTATCTATTTGCTTGTACAGAGACCAGACATACTTGTAAAACTGTATCACTGATTTTTTTTTTTAATATATTTTTGACTTTGTAAAAGCTTTATTGGAAGTGTAACTAATTGAAGTTTAATTCCTTAATAAATTGCGCTATTTTGAACAGGCCTATCTTTACTATATAGATGCAAATGTGTCAACTCACTTCAAGCAAACTCGGGGGGAATATTTCTTTTGTTCGTGTTCCTGTATACCATTCTATGTACTGAATTCACAAATGTCTCAGAAGCTGCTACAGTACAGGCTCTCAATTGCAGAAAAATAATGGTTTTTAAAAATACCTTGCTGCCCCATTCTGATTGTTCTAATATGTACCTAGTATGCTTGGGGTAAAAAAAAACCAAACGGGATTGTTCATAACATACTGTCAATGCTGTTGTCCTCAAACACTGACAATTTCATTCTTCAAGGCAGCAGTAAAACTTGGTGACTTGTCAGGAATGCATCACAGTATATGTATGTAAAACACATGCCTTTTTTCCAGATCTACTAAAAGTTACTAAGAGCTATCTGTAATTTTCTGACCAGTTACTAAAACTAATTTTATATGGCTTAATGTCTGTCCTTAGCTAAACATTCAGCTCATGGGCATTATGACTTCTGGGTCCACCTCTCAAATACTCCAGCTTAGTTAATTCCAGAGTTCTGTAGTTGAGATGAAATGTAGCAAGCCCTATCATTGCTGTATAGAGTTGGAAAGGAGTAAGAGACTGACAAAAGCTGGTGGTGCTCACTGTGAGAACAGTAGACCTAAGCCTAGACCAGTTTTAGCTATATCGATCAGAACTTTAACCGAAGTTTTTCTAACTACATTTTACTTAATTTGAAAGTGCTATGCTTTAGAATAGTGCTAAATGAGCCACATTAAATTCAGTATTAACCAATTGTAGAAAACCTGGTCAGTCACTTTGCTGTTAGAAAAATAGTAAATGAAACAATGAACTCATTACTGTGGCTCTTTTGGGTACTGTTGATTACTAATTTGGCTGCTGAGGTCTGAGTATCACTGCTCTAATAAATCCTAAAATTTTGCTTTTAGTGGGCAGATTCACTTCCATTTGTGTTGCAGGATCATTTATCTTTTAAATAAAGACTGTCTTAGTGACCTGTGAACAAAGCCACAACTACAACTTTGATAGTAATCCTGTGGTGCAAGGATTTCCTGTAAGGTACCTTTTAATGTGTTTGCATCAGCAGCAAGCATTAAGTGCTAAGTTTGGCACCAAGAAAGTTAGATGTGCAGCACTACACATTAGACACCAAGTCATCCCAGCCAACATTTTTACATATGAATAGAGAAAATGAATCAAAACATAATACCAAGCACTTACGGAACAAATTAAGTACAAGTCATGTTCTAGCACATTTGTCAGCTTGCACTATTAGAAAAATAAATACCATTTTAAGAAATGTTTTCATCACCCATTGGTAATATCCTAAAAACATGAACACTTCAGGTTTTACAAATATTAGCTCAACCTTGGTAACAAAACTGCTGTACAGAAAGCACCTTCGACAGGTGTCAAAATAGTTGGAGCTAAAATGATTTTAAATAAAAAAAAATCAGTTATGTTCAGAAACTCCATTCAAATTTAATGATCAGTGTTGCATACTAAAGTACAATAGTGTAGCAGAGGCAAAAAGCTTAGACGCTCATGTACAGTGGTAAATTAAATATCCCACTCCATCTCTATGAACACCAAGACTGTCTCTGCCTCAATAACTACTATCTGCCACTTTCACTTCAACAGGTAATATTCTGCTGAGTATATAAAAAGTTATAAAAAGGCAATCATAAAAGGTTAAGTATTGGCAGGCATGTCAACTTTAATAAAAAAAAAAAAGCATTGTATGTGTTAAATAAGGCTTCTTGTTACAGACTGTTCCAGTTACTGGGGCGCAGGAGAGGGAGGGGAGCCTGAAAAACCAACTGCCTATAACCGAAAACCCTATTCTTCCTGCCCCAAATACACATTCTAAGGGGGAAAAAATGTGCAAATTGGCAAAACAAACATTGGGGGGAAGCTCTTGAAATGATATGCCCAATCAGTTCTTAGTTTCTCTTGCAATATTATCAATTTCCAAAATCTAAGTAACAAAATCCAAAAATACACAAACACCCTTCATCTTTCCAAAAAAAAGTATATACAGCACATTAATAGTATGCAATATGCAAAAGCTTTGTGTTGCTGTTGGCAACTTCTATACCCTCCCAACCCTCACACATACCTCTACTAAAACACAATTACATCACTAAGCCTGTTAGTTTGCCTGGGGCACTTAAAGTGGTTAAAATTTGTAAGTTTTTGTATATGGGCTCCATTCATTTGACTCTGGGTTGTAGATTTCAACTGTATTCAGGAATTCATTGCCATCAAATCCTCCAACTGCATAAATGGTGTTTGCCACAGCTGCAATACCAGCATTGCTTCTTGGAGTAGTCATGTTTCCCATCATCTTCCATTCATTTTTAGCAGGGTCATACATCTCCACACAACTGACAGCACGAGAACCATCAAAGCCTCCACCAACAAAGAGTTTTCCTATTTAAAAGGAAATGATAAAAGTTTAACTGCTTACATTCCATAAGCCTCTACTTCATGAACTACGTGTGCACATTTGTGAAGAAATTATTAAACTAACTCAACACGAAGGGAGGTTGAAATCTAGGAAAAGGGATTTGTGTATTCCCAATACCATCAAACTACTTGTACTCTCTTGGTTACCAAAACTGTTTTCTGTACTTATTTCAGAATTACTTCCATAACAATTTCCAATTAGTGTTCGAATGCTGTTTATCTAGATAATGTATGATATTTCACTAGATAAAACTTCCATTGTCTGAAGTCCTTTATGAAAGTCAAGCCCAGGAAGTATCTGGATTTTTTTTTTTCTCTGCCAATCCTTTGCTTAACTGGCTGAAAGACTAGAAACTTACCATCATGAACAGCCACTCCAGCTCCACGCCTAGCCACATTCATAGGTGCAATTAGAGTCCAGGTGTCATTCTCTGAATTGTAACGTTCTACACTGTTCAGACAATTCCAGGATTCTGCTCCTCCAATTATATACAAATATCCACTTAGCTCACATACTGCAGACTGATGTCTACCTACAAATCAGAAGCCATTTTGAGAAGTTATATTGAGACCCCCCCCCCCCAAAACCAAACCTATCACTCCTTAAGATTTTAGCAATACAGACTTGCTGGTGCATGGCAGCTGCCTTTTTTATTAGAAATAAAATATGCACATAGGCAGCAACATTAAAAATCTGCTTTAAAAACAGCGCAACAAACTTACGAATGTTAAGTGGAGCACAGCTTGTCCAAGATTTTGTTATAGGATCAAACACATCACAATTTTTCAGTCCCTTCCGGCCATAAGGATCTGAGCCACCAACAACGTACAGCTTACCATTCAAAGCACATACTCCTGTTTGTATATAAATAAAAGTGATTTATCATCTAATAAATGTGTAAGGAACTAAACAGCCACAGTCACAAAACAGCCATTACCTGCATTGCAACGACTGGTTCTCAGTTCTGGAACAGGAGTCCAGTCATCTATTTCTGGATCATACATTTCCCCACAACTCAAGTCATCGGAGTGACCATTTGACCCCCCTACAACATACAGCTGTCCCTAAGTGGAAGAAAAAACAACCACTGTTTCACATGTGAATTGAAATTAATTCTGTTCCAGAGCAGTTCACTGGTATTAATTACAATTACTCAACTGCTTGCAAGGGAAAATCCCGATATACAAGAACAATTAAGTTATTAGTTAAATATCATGTAGTTTACTGTGACCCTGTATGTTTCTTTTAAGGACTGACAAATCCGGTTTTTTCAAGACACAATCCCAGAGATGTAACCAAATATCAAACACTGATATATCAGCATTTATTACTGAAACTTAAGTTATATTTTAAGAAAAATGGTCTTTCTATATTGTCAGGGATCTCTG